CTGCAGTTTGTGTCGTAGTTAGCGTATGGTCGAAGCCAAAGGGTGCCAGCATAGCCTTGCGACTCATAAATGGACGTAGAGTTTCATTCAGCCAAGCAATGTTGTAGACTGACTATATATATGAGCCAGTCAAAAGGATGCTCTGTTCGTTTATTGAAATGTAGCTAGTAGATAAAGCTAAAGAGTGAACAGAGGTTCGGGTTACGGTCTTCGTAGCGAAAATGTTGGATTGAAATAGCGTCAAACCCTAAGATACAATCACTATAATAAGAAATATAGAGAGAATTGGCCAATATCTATATATGTTAATATATAATATAATAGAGCTTACGGATAATATAATTGCATTATTACTTTACTATTTTAACTAGCATAGAAGCTATAAAGTTAAAAGGATAATATAGGAAAATAGAATCTTTTTTATAAGCATTTTTTTATTAAAAGAATTATTAAAATAGTTATAAACGTTTAATATCTAAGTCGATCTAGGTCTAAATAAAACTGATTAAAAGAGAGATAATTATAGAAAGATATAAATAATAAAAAGTCTGGCTTATAAGCAGTTTATTAACGTTTAAAGCAAAAATGATTTTATTATATCTATTACTGCAGAGTAAAAAGACTTATAATAGCGCAATAATATTAATAAATGTAAGAATAACTGCTATAAGGAAATAGGTCTATTATATAAGTAGCTTTTATAGCTAATATTTCTTTATAAGTAATCCGCTAATAGTAGGTTTAAAAGAGATAGAGTCTTATAATAAGAGAGAAGACTAGCACTTAATTGATATCTCTATAATAGCAACTACGTTTTAAATAGCTTTAATAGAGTCTCTTAAGACATTGTTTAAACTGTTTTTAATAGCGTTATAGCAGTTAATATCTATAGAGTATATGCAAATTAAAGCAGTCTAAGTCTCTACAGTTTATGTTATAATTAGCGTATAATCAAAGCTAAAAAATGCTAATATAGCTTTATAACTCATAAATAAACATAAAGTTTCATTTAGGTAAGCAATATTGTAAACTGACTATATATATAAACTAGTTAGAAGAGTACTTTATTCATTTATTAAAATATAGCTAGTAGATAAAGCTAAAAGGTGAATAGAAGTTTGGGTTACTGTCTTTATAGCGAAAATATTAGATTAAAATAATATTAAACTCTAAAATACAATTACTACAATAAGAGATATAGAGAGAACTGGCTAATGTCTATATATGTTAATATATAATATAGTAAAGCTTACAGATAATATAATTACATTGTCGCTTTACTGCTTTAACTAATATAGAAGCCATAAAGTCAAAAGGATAATATAGGAGAACAGTCTTTCCTACGAGCACCTCTTTATTAAGAGAATTACTAGAATAGTTGCAAACATTTAACATTCAAGTCGATCTAGGTCTAGGTGAAACTGATCAGAAGAGAGATGACTATAGGAAGATACAGATAGCAGAAAGTCTGGCCTATAAGCAGTTTGTTAACGTTTGGAGCGAAAATGATTCTGCTATATCTATTGCTACGGAGCAGAAAGACCTATAATAGCGCAATGATACCAATAGATGTAAGAATGACCGCTACAAGGAAATAGGTCTGCTATGTAAGTGGCTTCCATAGCTGATGTTTCTTTGTAGGTAATCCGCTAACAGTGGGTTTGAAGGAAATAGAGTCTTGCAACAGGGGAGAAGATTGGCACTCAATTGATATCTCTGTGACAGCGACTACGTCTCGAGTAGCCTTGGTGGAGTCTCGAGTAGCCTTGGTGGAGTCTCTCGAGACATTGTTTGAAAATCTGGACATGAAATTGATCATAGGTCTGGCAGAGAAGATGGCATATAATTTGGTTGAATCTGAAGACTAGAATGCTTAATTCTGGTGCTATCTGAGAAATAGCTAGGTACTTATAATGGGATCTGCTTGCTATCACATATGTCCCATTATGTTTCAGTTTGCTCTGAGACGCTGAGTCCTTTGTTCCACACTCCCCCTGACTCTGGGTGCCTCAGAGCGGACTCCCCCTCAAGCTTGGCGCCTGCCAAGCTTGTGTCCTGAGTGTCACTCAGTGTCAGTTCTGTACCCTTGCTTTCCATTCCAAGTGTTGTGACTATCTTGCTGAAGGTAGAATAGGGTAGAGGTTTCGTGAGCAGATCTGCGATGTTCTCCGTGCCTGGAATCCAAATTGGCTCGATGATCTTGTCCTCAACGAGTTCTCTAACAAAGTGGTGACGTATGTCAATGTGTCTGGTTCTGGCATGTGCCTCTGGGTTTTTAGTCAACTTGAGGGCTGACATGTTGTCGATGTAGAGTGGTGCTGTGTCGTGTGCGATGTTAGGGTCGATTGCACTAAGTTCGTTCATGAAGCCTTTGATCCAGTAAGCTTCTTTAGCAGATTGCTCTGACCTTTTGGGGTTCAAGGAAGGCATATAAACCATGAGGGCGGGCGTTCACGCTTTAGGCAGACAACCAACAACTTTTAAGGCAGAAAGTCGTTCATGACCGAGCTGCAGAGGCGCTCGGTAGCCGTGGTTCCTGCAATGGACCAATTGCAGATGGGTGCACCGCAAATTGCAGGAACCGAAAATAGCAGCATTGTAAGATGGACAAATGACAGCGCACAATACAAAAGAAGAGAAGCGCTTGTAGCAGATATAGGTAAAGACAGGAATGAAAAGGGCTTGGCCATATAAAGGCTATCCACAGTTACTTTTAATATCTGCAGAGTAGTGGCGATCTGTCAAGGATCATGCCACTTTGATGGTCTCATTTCTCGATGTCTTTTTTGCAGTAGCTGTATATCTCACTGCGTAGATAGACAGCACAGCAGGTTCTGACAACGTCATCTTACAAGGAGATACAGCAGAAGCCTTTTCTCGATGTCAATGGCTCGACTGCCTGACCTGTGTTCAGCGACACCAAGGATGTGAGGCGCGGGTAACATATGCGATGTTGCACATAAAAGGATAGCCAATCACAAGCAGGAAAAGCGCTGAATGTTGGTGATGGCTCTGAGGCGCCGAGCTCTGATAAAAAGCTTAGCGGAAGCGCCCATGGCCAAAGATGCAAATGATAGTCCGATATTTGTCTAATGAATGTAAGAGGTACACTGAAGAGAATGTCTCTGAGAGGGCGTCCAAATGTATGAAACGAGCATTAATTTCACTTGATTACAATGTTGGAGTGAAAGACGAGATGGTTTGATGTTGTACCTCATACTCATACACCAAAGTGACGGCGGCTCGGGAGCACAAAACGCCAAGATTTCTAGCTTGTTGGCGGCCGCTCTTGGCTTAGCGTGTCACGCACGGGCGAAAAGGTACCCACAGAGTAAGCGAAAATTGCGAGACGTCTTCGGCAGCTTTCAAAGTCGTCTTTTCTGTATCTCGACACGACCAGCGACGACAAACACGGCCAAAATGACTTCCAGGCCCACCGTTACCATTATCTCGGCCGATGGCTCTGCCAGCGAGTCCAGCCACCCTCTCCCCAATGTCTTCAAGGCCCCCATCCGCCCGGACATTGTCCAGTACGAAGCATCCGCCTCTTGGAGGAACAAGAAAAGTCGGACAGGATAGCTGATAGGCGCGCAGGTCGGTCCACACTGGTATGGCCAAGAACAAGAGACAGCCATACGCTGTGAGCGAGAAGGCTGGTCATCAGACCTCTGCTGAGTCCTGGGGAACTGGTGCGTGGACAATGCTTGAATTCTCTGGCCGCCAACGCCAAGAATATCAAAAGCGCAAATTTTGAAGACAAAGCTATCCTAACACACAATACAGGTCGTGCCGTCGCACGTATTCCCCGTGTCTCCGGTGGTGGTACTCACCGTGCTGGTCAGGCCGCCTTCGGTAACATGTGCCGTTCGGGTCGCATGTTCGCCCCTACCAAGGTCTGGAGGAAGTGGCACCAGAAGATCAACCTTGGCCAGAAGTGAGCGGACTGCATGATATGGCATATAATGAAGACTAACATTCATTCAGGCGTTTCGCCACTGCTTCCGCCATTGCTGCCTCTTCCAGCGCCGCTCTTCTCCTTGCCCGCGGTCACGAGATCGCCTCCGTCCCTGAGGTTCCTCTCGTCGTTTCTTCCACCGCTTTCTCCAACGCCGCCATTGCCAAGACCTCTGCCGCTCTTGCTCTCCTGAAGGCAGTTGGTGCTGGCCAGGACGTCGAGAAGGTCAAGGCCTCCAAGAAGCTCCGTGCCGGTAAGGGTAAGCTCAGGAACCGTCGCCACAGACAACGCCGCGGTCCTCTCGTCGTCTACAACCCCGACGAGGATGGAAAGGAGCTCGTTCGCGCTTTCCGCAACATCCCCGGTGTCGAGACTTCCCCCGTCTACTCCCTCAACCTCCTGCAGCTCGCCCCTGGTGGTCACCTCGGTCGTTTCGTCGTCTGGACTTCCTCTGCCTTCCAGGCTCTTGACAAGGTCTACGGCTCCACCACCGAGCCTTCCGCCCTCAAGAAGGATTTCCTTCTTCCCTCCAACTCTGTCGCCCAGCCCGACATTGCCAAGCTTATCAACTCCAGCGAAGTCCAGTCCGTCCTTCGCCCCGTCAAGGGCAGCGCCATCACCAAGCGCGCCCACGTCCAGAAGAAGAACCCTCTCCGCAACAAGCAGGTCCTTCTCCGCCTCAACCCATACGCCTCTGCCTTTGCCAAGGCTGGTCTTGGTCAGCAGAAGCTTTCCGAGGGCAAGCCCAAGGCTGTCGACGAGACCTTCAAGACTCTCCTCCACGAGAACTAAGCGTGGCTTGTCTCGCTGTGTCGTCGTTGTTTCATGAGTTCAAGCGGGTTCTGGTAACGATTCTGTAGCCGGGGAATCGTAAATTCAAAAATCGGATTTTCACCTTCTTTAAAATACCCATACCCCTTTTGCAAAAATTCAAAACGTGATCATGCCCTTTCCGTCCTCTCACTGCTAAGTAATCTCACTTGGGTTCATCTGCCTATCCTTTAATGATCTCGTAAACATGTCCTCTTCCATCAAGCAAAAAATGGCCGCGGTGGTGTAGTGGTATCACGCTGCTCTCACAAACTGGCTTGTCTTCAGACTTGCTAGACTCCCGACGTCGTAAGCCCACCTTTGGAATCACCTTAACGAACCGGCGGAGTAGCAGAGGCGCGAGTTCGATTCTCGCCCGCGGCAATACAATTTTTTGCCGTCTGCATTTTTCTTTGTCAACTTCACCCTATGGATGTTATTCTCAATTGCATTGCGAGAGTCACTTCTGCTGAGATGACTTGTTGTTCTCGATTTGCGACCTTTGCCATGACCCACCATTACTGGCTGTGCAATTCTCGTACGAGAAAGTCGCCTCAATTCAGCTACGTATAAAACGCTGTGTTCTCTCCCCCCCCTTTGCAGGATACCGGAGAGGGCTGTCAACCACTGCGTATCCTCGTTGATTGCTTTGCCCGTGAACGGGAGCTCCATTTGACCCCTGAACCATTCTCACCAATGTTTCATTTTCGCTCCTTTGTTCTTGGGCCTTGTCATCCACTATTCTACGAAGACATGGGCGCGGTTACGGTAGTCTTATCTTAACCTGTCGTCAACACCAAAAGACCTATGTTCTTCATTGAGGACAGTCAGGAGGTGAGGTGCTTGTATTGCAGCTTGTCTGTCACACGTGTCAGACACAGCCCTGACCTCCGTGCATGTCATAGTCGGAAAGAGTTACATTATAGCTGAGAACAGGGTGAAGGACACGTTGTCTTCACAAGCAAAAAGCATGTCGTCTGCTACCAGCTCTTAGTTTCCAAAGGTATATAAGTGTGTCGAATTGGCTAGCTACCCTCCGCCGTGCAAAGAGTGATTCCTTTAGTTCGATGGTAACATCTCTGGAGAAACACATGTGTTTCTCCCCCTTTTTTTTGGTCCTGAGTTCAACCCCCGCTGTGGACCAAATTTCCTTGTGTCGTTTGCTTTTCACTGCGGACTGGATATTCTGCTGTTTCGCCTCTGCTATTTCGCCTCTGCTATTTTGTGCTGTTTGTTCTTGTAATCGTTACTTTCGCGATTTTTGTCATCTTTGTGATCATCTGAGTTTTTGACCTTCAATGCGGATTGCCTTTCCATTTGCAAAAGGTGCGTTTACAAGGGCATGAAAACAGAAAACTTCCCTCATTCGTGCAATTGTTTGTACCGCTTTGGCCTGAAGTAGCATAGACGAACTTTCCCCTCCCGTTTTTGGTCCTGAGTCTAATTCTCCTCGTAGACCAAATCAATCTTTGTCTTCGCTCATCATTGCGGACTGACCATTTCACCCCTAACATTCTTGTCCCGTTCTTTATCCCACATCAGCAATGCAATCACGAAGCTCATCCGAGTCGTTGACTCACTTCAACGACTCGCTTCAATCTGTGTGCAAAGGTAAGGGTAAGGTATACGAGTTCATCAAACCATCCATCTTTCCTCCTTCGGTCTATAGGCGATAACCTAGTCTGATTGGAACAGAGGAATTCCTTCCTCCCTTTTTTGCTTTTAGTCCTGTGTTCAACCCTCACCATTACCAGAACTCATTTCTTCCCCTGTTTGCGTTTTGCTCCTGCACTCGCTTCTTTGACTGATTGATGCTTACCCCTTTTTGAGCCTGTATGCAACACGTTCCGACATTTAGCACAGCCTGATCTGCTTTCCGCAATGGTTGTTTCTGTCGCCTCGCTGGATCAGATGCTAGAAGCGAAGACGATGGGGATGGATGGAGCGCATTGGCAAGAATATATGATCTAGACTTCTCCTGAACCTGCTCCCTCCTGATACTCAACGCGCCATGCAAATGTGGTAAGCAAGACCATCAATCCATCCATCTTCCATCTATCAGACGACTCTACACGTCCAGGGTCTTGTGGCCAACCCTCAAGTCCAAGAACGCCTTTGTGACGAGTCTCTTCCCTATCTCTTTCCTTGTGGTATCTTTCGACGCAACAGCATGTGGATCAAAGGATTTGTAATTACATACAAGCTCCTCGGCGAGGCTCGCTTTGCTGTCTTCAGCAAGATCTGGGCTCGATGTGGCGATGATGCCGATCTACTTTGTATGTTTCATTTGGACAGGGTCATCATTAAACTCGACTTGGTGGAATGTTCTTACTGACGTGCACGATGGCTTGGCATAGGCTTTCGTGGACGGGGGTATCATATTTCATTATCTGAGTGCCAGGACTGTATCATCTACTCCCTCTAGGAATGTCAGTGTTGCTTTTGAAGTATTGTCATCACGGTTTCTCTTCTCGGGCATGGCTTATCTGAACAATCTCCTGCCGTGATTCCTCACAGCCGTAGTCTCCTTGCCCTCCAGACTCAAGCCGGTGAAGCCAACTGTGCCACCCTCTAAACTGAATTTGTACCTTCTCACGGCTTCCCTCAGGTGGTCGGGCAGCAGGGGACCCCTATCTCTCTCCCTAACCTTGGGCTCACCCTCGCCGTCCTTGCCAAATGCTTCTTCGTTCTTGTCGCCTGTGGGCAGCTGTTCAGCAGCGGCGACCCACTCCTTCTGAACCTGCCTCGCACTGTCCACGATCTCGGCAACGAAGAGCTTGCTGTAGGCGGCAATGGCATTGACGACTGAACCAGGTACGGATTGTGACAGGGTCTGGTTTACCAAGCGACGAACAGTGTTTTTATTAAAATGGATTCTGTTGGACAGACTGAATTGATCGGCGTGGCTTTGGTTGATCTTCTCCATCATGACTTGGAAAGTGGCCTTGTTTGCTTTGTCCTGCTCGAGAGCGGCCCTGGTGAGTCTGACGCCACCTTCCATCTGAGTGCCACCGCCCTCATCGCCGCCTTCGTCTTCATCTCCCTCGTCGTCGTCGTTGTCGGCTTGTTCGTTTCCGTCCTGACCTCCGTGTGTGGATGTGCCGGCTTTGTTGCGCGATGAGGCAGTGTCGCCGTCAATGATGGAAGCTGTGCCGTCTCTGGTGGAGGCTTTCGGAGGTCTGCCCACTCTTCCAGGTTTTGTTGTCTTCCTGGGACGTTCTTTCTTTGAGGATGAGGCATTGTTCCTGCCGGAGACTACACTGGTGATTTCATCGTCGACATCTAAGCTCTCACTTCTGCGGCTGACGGGCGAATAGGCGACTTGTGAACCTTGGGTGTCGGGACTGTATGCGCGTGAATCGAGACGGTCTGGTGGTGGGAATGACGTCTGGCGGAGAGGATGCGCTGATGATGATGCTGTCGATGGTTTGCGACGCTTGTGAGAGGGCTGATTAGGTGGTAGCTGGATTGAAGGGCGCTTCTTGGGTAGCGACATGTGAGGTCCAGGTGGTGATAGCGCGCGGCCAGGCGGACTGCTGGCCATGATCACGAAACCTCTTTCTTGAAATGCTGCACTGAATCTTTGAAATACACCGGACCTTGTGCTCGATGCGCTACCACGTTATGCGCCGCGGACCAATTACACTTCTTCGCTTCCTTACGCAGCAAAAACGGTCAGATATTGGACATCAGAGCCCTCGGAGATGTGTGAATTTGGCACAGATCCGATCTGAATGGCTAATGAACACCAGAAGCTTGACCGCTTCACTCGCTCTGTTCTAATATTGGAACCTAATAATAATGAGGTTGCAACTTTCACGAATCACGGCAAAGGAGACCAGGTCCGGCAAACGTCTCGGGAGCCGGACTGATCTGTGCACGGACCAACAAAGCCTTCACTCCAGCCTCGCACTGTGCGCGCACTTATGCAACGTTATCGAGCGCTTAACTCTTTTCCCACTTCCATTCTTCCTCCCCCCATCTTGATGTGACCACGCACCCATCTGAATGACGAGAAACGACTCTCCTTTGTAGTGTGACGCCAAATACCACGGACCCGCCAATCTACCAGAACCATAGACTGCGCAAAGGCCACTCTACCAGACGTAGTCGAATTTTAGATATCGAGATCTACCGGCGCATTTACTGGCGCATTTTACTGGCGCACTTGTTGGCGCATTCTACTCGCCTATAATAATAGCGATTGACAAATACCCTTTGTTCATTTTATTTTCTGGAACCTTTTCCTTTGAGTCCCTTTATTGTTGTTCCACTTTTTCATTCCTTCGCAAATCGTATTCCCTTTTCAACCATGTCAGACGATTTAATAGCAATCACCACTCAGGACGAGCTGCCAAAACATGCCCTTCAGCCTAATACAGTGGCGGACGAATCTTCGACAAGTCCACGCGCCACTCCTACTATTCCTTCGGGAGGTCTCTTTAGCCCCTATGCTACTGCTCACATGAATGCCTCTCCACAGGCTGTCTACGATGCTCTCGTGGATGCTGCTGGTTGGAAACAATGGAATACCTTTGTTCCTAGCGTTACAGTGAAGCCACCATCAGGCTCCACCGACACAAACACTATCCAGCAACATGCTTCCATGACCTTCAAAGTCACCATGTCCTATGGCAACAACACTGTGAGCAAAGAATACGTCAACATTCTCGATCCTCGCCCTGGCACAACCTCCAGGAAAGGCAGTATCACCCGCATATGCTGGATCCTCGACAACAAGTCCGTCCTCACTCCCCGCTTCCTCATGCACGCCGAGCGCGTAAACGAGATCGAGGACTGCGGCGACGGAACCTGCATCTACAGGACCTGGGAGACGTTCGGCGGCGCCGTGGCGAGAATCGTAAAGTGGAAGTACGAATCCCTTCTCAAGGAGCGCTTCAAGGACTGGGTCAAGGATCTCAAGGGCTACGTCGAGAAAAAGGAAGCCATCAAGAACGAGAGGAATTTCGCCATTGAGATGCCCGCATGAATGAGCAACCGCCATCCCTACTACCACTTCCATTATTCCTTCCCAGCCAGCGCAGGCTCGCTGTCCGAGACCGTCTAGAACATTTAAGCCACCGGTCGACGCCACGTCTGTGCGTCTGCTCCACTCTTATCGCAGATTGCTTCGAGTCCGAGGCGTAACGTCAGATACGACAAAGAACTTCTTCCCCGCTGGAGGCGGTCCACCGAGGGACGTCGATCGACCCACTCCAGCTCGCCGACAAGACTAGAAGGAGATCGACACGATGCGCAGGACAGATCCAAAGCAGCACGGCCATCTTCTCATTGGCGTCAAGGCTCCGAGACTTGACAGAATGTATTCTCACATACATACGGCATACATACGGCATACATAAGCGGGCACAGAGAGGCATGTC